TAATTAAATATAACTTATTAAAGTTTTTATTTTATTGATTTAATTAAATTTAATAATTTTAATTATTATTATTCACTGTATTACTGTATTTAATATATTAATAGTAACTAAAGATTACTGATATAATTATTTAAAGTAATATTTTCAAATTATTATTCTTTATTTTATAAATACTACTATTGATTTAGTACTATTTAATAATTTGATTAAATATAAATAAGATATTAATTTAATAAGTATAAATTCTTATTATATAAAAAATTACTATCATTATATAAAATATATAAATTAATTAAAATTTAAAATTAATATTTTTATTGACTGTACTATTATTATAATAGATCTTTTAAATATTTATATTTTAATATTATATAAAAATTTAAATTATTTAAAGAAGTAAAAGATGATTAATTTATTTTATATATAAATTTTTATAATTCTATATTATAATTATAATTTACTAAAAATTTAATTTATAATAATTATTATTTTATATTATTATTTCAATTAATTATCAATATAAATATAAAAATAAAATATTAAAAATTAATAATAAAATTAATATTAATACTAATATTATAATTAAATAAAATAGTAAAGAAGATATTAAAGTTAAGTTCTTATTTAAATATATTAAGAAGTAAAATAAAACTATAAAATAAATAAATATTTTGATAATTTTTAAAAATATATTATTAATAAATATAATTTTATTAATTTAAAATTTTAACTTTTTATAATATTTATAACTATTATTTATATTTTTAAATTTATATTTATATATTAAAATATAAATCTTTATTATATACTTTATAAAAAAATTTTCATCTATATAATAACTTATTAATTATTTATTTTATTATTTATAGTTATTTTAAATCTATTAAAATTTTTGATAAAGTTTTTAATTATATAAAATTAAATAAATATATTATATATATTATTAATATTGATTATTTAATTGACTATAACTTTATAAATATCTTTTAAATATAAGTTTTTTTATTTTAATAAAAATCTTCTATATAATTTAAATAAATTTAATATTAAAAATTAACTATATAAGAAAATTATACAAACTACTGATTTACTTGATCTATTAATTTATAAATTAATAATTACTTATATATTTTTATCAAATAATATTATAATATATATAGTAGATAATACTATACTTCTTACTATAACTTTTAATTTTTACTTTAATAGAGTAATTATTTGAAGTTTAATTATTAAATTTAATAATATTACTGATATTAATATTTTTTAAATAAATAATAATATTATAATTATATCAATAATAATATATTTATTTTAAATTTATAAAAATATTTAAAATAATAATATCACAATAAATTTTAAAGTTTGAATAAAAATAATTTTTATTATGAATAATAAATTATTATCTCTTTAAATTTATTAAAACTCTTTAAATTAAAAATTAAAGAATATATTTATTAAACTTTATTAATTATTATAAATAATTAAATTATTAATTTTAAAGTCTGAAAATAAGACTTTTTTAAATTTATTAGAACTTTTTTAATCAGAGATAAAAAAATAACTTACTGCTAAACTTCAATAATCATAATAAATAACTAAATTAAAGATTATAATATTATCTATATCATAAATTTAACTTATTAATATAATATTAAATGTAATATTTAACTTATTTAAATTATCTTTATAAAATTATCATTAAATCTATATATTATAAATTATTTAAATCTCTATAAAATTTAATAATTTTAATAATATATATAATCACTAAATATACTGCTGAACTGTTTATATTTTTAGTATTCAAACAGCATTTCAATATTCTTATCTTGTTATTCATGAAATATTTATAAATTTTATCTTACTTAATCATCAACACATAGTAGTCAATGCTAGAATTAATTAATTTAATTTATCATTTAAGCTGAATTATTGAAACAATCTTCAAAAATATTAACATTATAAAAGTTTCATATATATCACTAAGAAGAAGTGTGAAGTCATTACATATTAACAGATTTATCAATTTGTTCTAATAGTCAATATCAAAGACTTGTCTATAGTTTCCTTGCAGTGATTGTTCATATCACTCATGTCTTAAATTACTCATATGTCTTAAGATCAATATCTCAGATCTCTGCTGATAGACATAGCTGTATGCCTCACTAATAAGAATAATATACTTCTTTGATATAGATGATCATATAAATTAGCTAGTTATTATTAAGAATACTACTATCTTATGCATTCTGACTACTGTCACACAGTTTTCGTAGCTGTAGCTTAGTAGTCATACATTGTCATAGTGATGTCACACTGAGTTTCTCATCATGACTGCATAATCAAATTATCTACATATCTATTTCATTAAATCACTCATTTAATATGTAATTTAAAAATACTCCTATTAATATCTCTAATTCAATTCCATTTTAGTTTCATGGTTGTGAAAATATTTGAATTTGTAGGCAGAGCAGCAAATTTTGTTGCTTGAAGTGTTTAGTGAGCATTGTGTGACAGTCATATTATCTGATTTGGAATGCCAGATCAAATGCTGGATCAGTATGCTGTACTGAATGCTACATCAGAAACCTGAATGCTGCTTCGGCAGGGCCTGTCATTGTCTCAACTCTCACAAGTGCGGCATGTTGTGATGATAGTCAGAACATAGTAAGCATAAGATAGCAGGATTCATAATAATAACTAGCTAATCTATATGATCATCTATATCAAAAGAAGAAGAGAAAAACAGCGAGAAAAAAATGAAATATGTATGTCCACGGGCGTACGCGAGCTTGGTCAAAAGGAGGCATACGGCCGTGGCGGTCCGCCGGGATCCGAGGTATACGAGCGATCCGAGGCAAGAGCAATATGACAACACATGCCTCTTAGGAATTAATGAGAGATATTTGTGGTTCTAAGTTGGTGCAGCGAGTACATAAGCCCTGGGGTTTGAGTATAAATTCAGGGGTCAAGTCCTAAATTTCAGAATGGCCTTGGTTTTCAGTAAATTGAAAATCAGAATATTAACTTAAGTGGCCTCTTGTTAAATCTTTTGAGAATCCCTTCCTGCACCTTACTTCCTTTTGCCATATTTGCATCAAGCTTCATGAGGTTTCTCTCTTTGATCACTTCACTGGGGCTCTTTGCTCTTGTTGCCAACGGATCCCCAGCATTGGCAAGTTTACACTTAAAATCATATCTGAAAACATAGCATGTGGACCCAATGAGCTGACCATAAGAAAGAGCTCAAGAGATGACAGACCTGGCTTCACCAACAATGGACTGAGAGATCCCGATGGATTCAGCCACATAGGCGATGATGGAGTCTTGCGATCCTTCAACGGCGATGGAGAAGTGATTAGTTATGAGAGGTTAGATAAAGAGCAGTTGACTAACCTGGCATCATGGTATCCGGAGCCTGAGCATCGGGATCACTTGCATGATGTATGGAAGGACGCTAATAGCTCGACGGTTTCCATGGAGCAAATCTGGAACCCACCCAAAGAGTTACTTCCAGTTGTGCTAAAACAGCCACAACTGCATCGAAGGGCGGGAGTCACCAATAAGCGAGAAGCTCCGAATGTATTGAAACGCTCAGATGGTGAAAATATTAACTGCCTCATTATCTCCTGTTATTCTGATGGTGAATGCATTACATATGGCTGCAGAAATTGTCGACATTATGATGAATTTATCAGCGGCTATTGTCTACCATGATATGTGTGGATGTTGTTTTATAAGAATGACCTGCACTTCAATAAATTCTGATTAGCAAGAGCAATTGAATATTTCAAACTTAGAATCTCCCTTAGACCTACCTTCATCTTCTTACTTGGCACATAACTTTGTTATATGTTCTACCAAATGTAATCACTTTAAGGATGACATGGTAGTAGGTCACGCAACAGTTTTGGGTGTAGTATATGGATGTAGCATATTAAAGCTCACGACTTGAAGAGCTTTGTTTTGGTCTATGTTTGTTTTATCAGAGAGAGCAGCAGGCGCAAGGGTATTTTCACTTTTCATGTTAGATTAGATGATATCACTTTTGAGAGCAAAAACTGGGCGTAGCCATTTCACTCAGCTAGTTTACATACAAATCAAAAAATGAAAAAGGAAAGAAGAATAAAAGTGCAAAAGAATCTGTGGGATGGTTAATCTCCTTGATGTGGTTGAAGCAAGAAATCTGTCATTTTGACTGATTTCACAAACTATTCAATGTGTGAGGACACTTAGGATGAATGAACTGAGTGTCAAAAGGAAGCGTGAGAAGCTCTATAACTAGGATCGTAAGAGGGTAGGTGTATAGGCGCGGTGAGCGCTACAAAGGGAAGAGGATAGCGATGGATGAAAATGTAGGTATAGGATTGAATAGTAGCTAACCACTGAATCTCTTGAAGGAACTTCAGAGATTCAGGGTATTTTTATACATGAATGAGTAGCAATAGGTTTTATCCCTAATCTTTCATGAAATGGGGAATTAGTAATGTAGTGATCTGATTCTCCATGAAGTGCTGATCCTATCTGTTACGGCGCAGCTGCTTGTATATGGATTAAGGTTGATCCGCCCCGCTACGCTCTAAAGGTTGATCCGTTCCGACCTCAACCATATTCAGTTGCTCAGGTTGATCCAATCTGATCCCCAACCATATCTGCTTTGAAAGTTGATCTAATCCAATCCCCAACCACTTCTATATATTCAGCTGCTTGTTCATTCTTCATTCTAATCCTCTGTTTAGTATTCTCATTGCAGCTGCCTAGTTAGATAGATGAATTGAAGCTGTTGTCTTATTATCATTTTAACTCTAATTGAGTCATGATATAATATTAAACTTCTTTTTCTTAAAAAGTCTTGGAGATTGAGTAGCAGGTTTATATCTATATGTCCATGTCTGTGTGAGCTCCTCAGTGGTTGCGATCATGCTGAATGCTCAAGTCTATATCTATGTCCATGTCTGTGTCTGCGTGAGCTTTTCAGTAATTATAACTATGCTGAATGCTTAAAATCTTTGTTAATTTTTGTCTTTTTTATCTTTATTTTGAAAGATTCTTTTGCTGTCATTCATTAGAAATTTGAGAGTGCTATCAAGAAGCTTCATCAAAATCAACAGCTCTCAATCTCAATTTTAATTCTAATCTATTTGAAGCTTTTTCTGCCAGATCTCAATTGAATTCCTGACAATCTATATCACTAAGTTTAAACACATTCTTTATGAGTGTTGTGAACCAACAGGAGACTCCCAGGGATCATTGGATAAGAATTGCAGAGGATAAAGGAACTAGGATTTCAGACAGAATAACTTTGAGTTCTAGGACTAATCTAAAGAGATGATCATGTGATTGATAGATTGATAGATTGATATGACTATCTATCAGACATTACCAAGTCTACTGAGTGATAGATTGGTAGGCTGGTATGACTATCTATCAGATATTACCAAGTCTACCAGGTGATAGATTGATAGGCTGATATGACTATATATCATAAGCTATCAGATCTATCAAGAGGTTTTCATCATGTATATAAACACACTCATTACCTCTAGGATCAAGAGGTCTATCTTCTTGATCACAATCAATTTTATATTCTCCATTCATCTACTGATCTCTACTTCATTCTACTCACATTGTGTCTGTGTTTATCTAATACATCCATACTCCTATACTTGTTATAGCTTTGATCATCTAACTCTACACCCTCTCAGATGCCCATCTCATCCAAGCTCTACACACATTTGACCTTTTAGCTGTAACTATCATTGGTTATAAGGATCCTCTAATTGATGTCCTTACTACTTGTGATAGTGGCACTACCCCCTGTCCTAGTTATCAAGCTTATGGTACTCCTGTTTAGCTTAACCTTACCCTTCAGCTACAGGTGAAGCTTGCTAGTGATAGAGGCGCGGTAGCAATGAGGCTAGAGCTCAGAATTAGTTGAATTCTTTAAAGATATCTCAATTTCACCAAGGCCTCAGTACATCAATTCAGAATTATCTAGCTTAGCCGCTAAATCTCTTTTAAATTTACAAGAAATTCCTATATGTTGTTCAGCAATTAACTTTTAATTTTTCATATTCACTCACATCACACAATTGCCCTGATCACTCTGATCACTCTGATTGCTATAAATGTCATAACTCTATAAATCTCAATCAGATTCAAGTTAATACTCTTGATCTTTCAAATGATTCTTCATCATATACCCTGTCAATTTCACCTTCTTAACAGGATAAATTCTGCCAACAAGGCTATTATGTACACTATAAATCTCATAATCATTGAATTGAAGACTGTCATTTCCATTCATATTTTTTTAAGCTCTATTACTATCAAACTGCTAAAAGAATCTCAGCCTTTAGACAAGGATATGATGATGACTCTGATGTTAGTGAGGTATAGAAGAAAATCTATAAGAATTTAGTGAATAATGATCAAGATAATTAGTCTACTGATAAACTTAGTAAATTTTTATTTTGCTCTTTTCTTACTTCTAATATAGCTGCTTGAGAGTAAGTACTTTTTTAAATCAGAAGGTGTTGTTATAACGCAGCTGCTTGTATATGAATTAAAATTAATCTGTCTCACTACACTTTAAAGATTAATTTGCCCCGCTACACTATAAAGATTGATTTATTCTAACCTCAATTATATTTGATTGCTTAAGTTGATCTGATCTGATCTTCAATTATATCTACTTTGAAGATTGATCTGATTCAATTCTCAACTACTTCTATATATTTAACTACTTGTTCATTCTTCATTCTAATTCTTAGTTTAGTATTCTTATTGCAATTATTTAGTTAGATAAATAAATTAAAGCTATTGTCTTATTATCATTCTGACTCTAGTTGAGTCATAGCATTATTCTCCAGGAAGTACTAATTTCAAAGAACTGATTTTTGAGAAGTGCTGATCTGTGCTGATTCTGAGTGCTAAATCTTGAGATGATGCTGATTTTTTAGAAGGTACTAATCTCAAAGTACTTTAATAAGTAGTGTAAAGAGGTAAGCATTTTAGTAAGCAATATGATAAGCAGTGTGAGAGTAAAAAGCTAGTATAGAAAGTCTTAACATCACACAATATGAAGAAATGAGATTCTATTGACTGCTAAGCAATTTGAAACTAATGATATTCTCAACAATAGACAATCTATCTCCGAGAATAATATCAGTATGAATATACAATATTTTTAAACTAAAAGAAATATATAACTTTATAATTATATATGATCTGCAATTTTAATATGATGATATAGAACAGACTAAGGCGATCAGTTATTACTGTCATAGCGTAGCTGCTTATATATGAATTAAGATTGATTTACCCTGCTACACTTTAAAAATTGATCTGTTTTAATTTCAACTGTGTTTGATTGCTCATGTTGATTCAATTTAATTCTCAATTATATTTACTCTGAAATTTGATCTGATCTAATCTTCAACTACTTCTATATATATAGCTACTTGTTTATTCTTCATTCTAATTCTCAGTTTAATATTCTCATCATAGCTATTTAGTTAAATAAATAAATTGAAGCTATTATTTTGTTATCATTCTGACTCTAGTTGAGCTATAATATAATACTAAACTTTTTTTTCTCAAAAAGTTCTGAAGATTAAATAGCAGGTTTATATCTATATATTCATATCTGTATGAGCTCTTCAATAGTTATGATCATGGTAAATACTCAACTCTATGACTATGTCTATGTCTATGTCTATATATATATCTACGTCTATATCTATATCTATATTTATATATATGCTTATGTCTAATTAAGCTCTACTAAGTGCTCAAAACCTTTGTTAATTTTTGTCTTTTTTATCTTTATTATGAAAACTTCTCTTGCTGCTTTTTGTTAGAAATTTAAAAGTGCTATTTAGAAGCTTCACAGTCAAAATCAATAATTGCAGACTGAATATCAATCTTTATAAACTGCTATAAACAGCTCTCAATTTTAATTTCAATTCTGTTCAAAGCTCTCACACTGTCAGACTCTAAAAAGCTTACTAATCAAACTCTGAAATTTGACATCTGACTTCTCTCAATCAAAGTTAAACTACACATTAATCAAGCTATTATTGAAGATTAAAATACTCAGTTCTACTATATAAACTTGAATCTAGATTCAAATATACAAGCAATGATTTTTTCTTAGCTAACTCAAGCTGAAGAAACAGAAAATTGAAACTACAACTTTATTCTCAATCAACTTTCTCATGTATATAATAACTCAAACAAAATAATTGAGGTGAAAGACAAATTATACAATCTAAAGCAAGAATCAAATAAATCTTTAACAGTCTATATTACTAAGTTTAAATGTATTTTCTATGAAATCAAAGCTCAGATTTGACTGAATTCTTTAAAAATATCTCAATTTCATTAAAATTTTAGTATATCAATTCAGAATTATCTAGCTCAGCAACTAAATCTTTTTTGAATCTATAAAAAATTTTTATATATTGTTTAGCAATTAGCTTTTAGTTTTTTATATTCATTCACATCACAATCTTATTTTAATTACTTTGATCACTCTGATTATTATGAATATCATGACTGTATAAATCTCAATCAGATTTTAAGTTAATACTTTTAATTTTTTAGATAATTTTTCATCATATATCTTGTTAATTTTATTTTATTAATGAGAAAAATTTTATCAAGAAGACTATTGCATATACTGTGAATTTTATAATCATTAAGTTAAAGACTGT